ACGCCTACAACCCTTCTCAGGTTGACGCTCTAGGTTGGAAAATCGTCGCAGAGTTCATTTGCTGACTTCCTTCTATCAGCTGTATCCTCAAATCTGAACGGCAACACGCTCATGTAATTGTATCGTAGAATATAGATGACCAACAAACACACGACATATCTCATCAACCTAGTGTAGAAACAGAGTAATTTACACCAAAGATAATAACATTCAATTAGTAACTTGAAACTAGAAATTCCTTTATTCATGCAGGTCAATTTAACAATTACTCTCTCGTTTACACTTGGCTTACCCTCACTAAACTGAGCAATATCTTTCGTCTTTTCAAACGCACCAATACTATCATAGTCATTGCACAAGATACTTGAGATGATGGGTGTCTGTTTCATTGTGGATGACAGCACCAACGACGAATGATTGATATCAGTTGATGAAGTTAGCGGTGGATCAAAAGCTGTTGTTGCTCAACTTTCAGAAAGTTGTCTACCTGCAAGACCACCACCACTGCCGTCTTTTACTATCAGCTCAGGCTTAGCACTGGCATCTGATGATAGGTGGGCTACGTGCTGATCAATCACACTGACGGTCTCACAAGTATGCGTGCCTTCTGCAACTGAATCTGCATTTATTTCTACTTCACTTTCAAGTTGTACAGAACCTTTATTCAACTTAGCAGTAGTAGGCATATCCCTCATCTCATCATGATCAACCAAAGACAACTGTGAATTATCATGATCATTATCACGAATATTCACTTTACCGTCAACTTTATCATTTTCAAACTCTTTAATAACAGAAGGAGACAATTTTGGTTCCTCCTCACAAATCCTAAAAGGTTTTATAACTTCACTCTGACTAGTAATACCTTGTAAACTTGTAGGGTCAGAACTGCACTCTGAAGCAGCAACTCTATTCTGTGACACTCTATTCAACAATGGCTTACCAGTTGCAACTACAGACTTCCTGACCGCACCGTTATCGTCACACAATATGGAGTCAGGCCTGGAGTTTACATTTAGCTTATCACTAAACTTGCTCACTGGTTCACAGTTCAACTTTGTACGCACTTCTTGCAAACGTGTGAAACACAACCGTGTTTGTTTTGAAGCTTGTAACTTATCTGTTGAGGATGTCCCACGAAACCTGTTGCACTCACTAAGTTTATATGCATTACTAGACATCATGGAGCCTTCTCGATATCCACCTCTCTGAGGCCCTTTCTTCATCAATGAGTGCGTTTTACCCTCAGACTGCTCTATTCTAGGGGTGAGATTCAATATACTGGCAAACTTGCTCATAGATTGATTGACACTAGTATTTACCAGATTCAGGATATCATCAAACCTTGGCTCGATACCGTCATCCTCCATACGGGAGCTTATCTTCACCCACTTCCTTTGCAGTCGAGTAGGTAGACGTCTTGATATTACTTCCAGTATAAAACTCGAGTTGAGGTCACTCATGCGATTCATCGAAATCATTGCATTCTTGTAAATTAGCAAATTATCTAAAAACTCAGTAAGTGCCTTGGAGTCATCCTGTAATTGACCACCATTACCCTCAACAGCCTCGAATAATTTCCCTGCAATCATCGAAGGTCTTCCAAACCTTTGACGTAGTATGCTCATAGCCTCGTTGTAGCCCTCTTCTGGCTTCATAAACTTACAGCACTGTATAGCTCTTGAAGCATCTCCAGTGCAATACCTCATCAAACACATTAACTTCAATTCATCAATTAATAGAAAACTACTCAACATGATCTCAAACTCCTTTACAAATTGTAAATAATCAGCCGGGTTTCTGTCGAAACACCGTGGTTCTAATTTAGGGAGTTTGATGTTTCTATTATCCCTGAACGGCGAAACAATAACATCAACCATGTCATGCTTAACATCAGACACATCGTTACAATTAACAGACAAGTCACCATGACTTACTTTCCTGTTTGCATTCAAGACACTCTGTCCCTTCTTTGACCCAGGCATTGTTGAACTTGACCCAATTCCAAAAACGTTCCAGATATTGCTTGTTCAAAGAGGACTTGACCGGCACCAGGAAAGATGAACGGTGACTATCCAAACTTTCACCAACTGTGTGAATTTGTCAGAGTCTGTTTCTACCATCAGAAACTGTCAGTCACGTCTCATAAACCGTCAATGCCCAGCTCTTGCTACGCTCGGGCCCACGCTGTTCCTTGCAGTTTTTCAGAAACGCTTAATAGTAACGGACGCGAAAACCAAAACACCGATTGGCCGCTTGGGAATTCTTTATTGTAACACCAACATATAAAAATATTTCTATTAAGGTCTGTGAACAAACATTACAATAATAAATCACGAGATTACTTCTGATGGTTTGCTACTGACTTCTTTCTGAACAGCGACCGATGAGACGATGACTGTCGTGTTGATGCCTCCTCGAAAATTGGGGAAGTTGATTTTGAGCAAACAACCAAGAATTGATCGTTCAATCTTCAGCTCCATTGACAGCAGCTGTGGCGGACTCTGTTTGCGGTCACCTACTTGATGCCGAAGAACAATTCAGGGTGTTCGCCTGCATATTAATCAATTCACTGCTGATGCGAACCTACGTTGATTTTGGTGAGGAAGTAAAACGAACACATAGCTGTCATTAAACTGACGAACAAACAGACTATAATTTAAGAAAAAATACAATGCCTTACACAGCAAAGTCATTTTAGAGAACTGGCCTCAAGCCTTATTAGTATTTTGGTATTTGCAAGCTATCCAACACAGACTTGTGTTTTTACAATGCAGAGACAGAGCTTCTATAATTTTTGTTGCGCTACAACAATTAATTACTTGAAGAATAGCAGCAATGTAACTATATCATGAACCGAATTCGTGTAATTTGAATAATAACTTGTCACTACCCGCACAATTATTATTTGCCTGCACAGTGGAAGTAAATATATCATTATTTTAGCACAACGCCCCATTGGTTCCCTATGGACATTTGCCAGTACGTTATGGTGGTTAAGTAGTTCCAGGCTTATGACAGGTATCGTGATGTCGGTCAAAATGATAATCCACTGAACAGATTGACCTGAGCCTACGTTGGGATAAAGATATCTTTTCCCTAAAATTTCAGGTTTTCCACTTACTGTGTGCAATTTAAAAGCAGACTCCCTCTGGCGATCTTCCTCGTGGTACTTTGGATGTTGACGTTCATACAAATAGTAAGAAGGTAGGAGCCATATCCCGGTAGTGAGTACGGTCAGTGTTAATACGTACCAGGGGTGATATTCTCCTGCTGGCCACAGGTTCTACGGTACCAGCAGCATCAAAAGTTGTTAATTCTATGTGGTCTAGTCTACGTAGGCTGCTACGTCCAGACGAGTTTCACAGGGAGCTGGAGGGAACTCCGGGGGCTAGCTGACATAAACAGGCATTTAACTGAGCTACATGACCCTGTGGCTTAAGAGTCAATGATTTAAGATAGGAAATCGGTGGGAAAATTTTCCGTCACATGTCACATATTTATAGAATTCCATCCCCTAAAGGAGATAAGTCCTTGATAAAGATTACCTGTAGTATGTCAAGCACAATCAGAAAAAGCCATGGTGACTTGGGTGAGGACAGGTCTCTGAGAAGTCCTTCATGAGATATGCGGTGCCTCATGGTATCACCTATTGGTTAAGGTACATATGCACCTTTGCAATTAATTAACCACGCTACGCCGAGAAGTTCGCTGGGATATTGAAAATTTGACACATCGTTTCTCTTCAAGATTTATGCATCAAAGAGGATACTTACCCCAGGGATGAACACGTATGCTGTGAGGCACTTGATTAAATCACGCGACGGAACATGTAAAAATACTAGAATCCCTGAACGTTGATCGATTACCCCACACCCATAGAAACCAGCTTCAGAATACAGAAACCACGTTTTTGCATAAAGTCGACCTAAGTTGGTGTTAGATGACCAAAGATTCATGAGTACAGACACACGCGAAAAGTTCTTTTTTTAGAAGGCAGCAGCTTAAGATGCATGAAGAAAACAGTAAAAAATTGACAGAAGTTACTGAAATATAGTGGAGCTTGATTATGAACCCTCTAGTTTATGACACGAAGGATGTCGGCATGGACACAGAATACAACTATATGACAGTGGGTGTATATAGACTCAGACTTAAACAAAAACACGGAGTGAAGAAACTTCAGGTTCTCATTTGAAACAGTAATGACTCAGACAGCTTCAAATTTTCAACTACCACCACTCCGTCGAAAATTAAGCCGTTTGGTCTTACCATGCACACCCTGCTTGCCTGTCTTTGTCCTTCTGCTTGAATGGCTGTCTGTGCTTGACAATAATCTGGACACTATTTCACCCCACACTGGGGTGGGATATATATGTTCAAACCAAGTTCATTTCTAACAGTTTGAAAAAATTGGGCGCTGAATATATGATATTCACAATTGAAAAATATATTTTATTTCTAAATGAGTGAAAAACAATGGGATATGATTAAAGTATTAAAAAGTAATATAGTTAGATGTAGAGATGAAGGTTAATCATAGAATCTTTGTTCACTGAATTGACGCCAGACGCGTGTAATGGGAATTATACAAACGGGAGCAAGTCTATATTGAGAAAGCTTGGAATTCATGTGAATACACTGATATGATTGTGCCCGAAAAGCTATCCGGTTTTGATTGCATTGTTTCTTTCACTATGTATCCCATCGAATTAACTTTTTGAAATACCACAAAGATTCATAGATTTCAAAAGTTACCTCTGAAAACCCACAGGAATCATATGCAAACACATTTCGTACCCCGCGATGCTTCAAAGAAGGTATATTTTGATTGATTAACAAAACTGGCTCCAAAGAGTTCGTACATTGAAACATGAATTCCCTGCAGTGGTTTAAGCAGTAAAGCGCGGGTGATTTGGTTGAAAGCTTTCTAGGCGTGGATTCCCCATAAAACGTAAGTCGAGTATCTAGTTTCCGTCTATATGTATTTCAGATAAACAATGACCAAGGGAACCACATCATTTGGTAAGCGGCATAATAAGTCCCACACACAATGTCGTCGTTGTGGCCGAAAATCATACCACATTCAAAAGAAGACATGTTCATCCTGTGGATACCCCTCTGCCAGATTGAGGAAATTTAACTGGTCAATTAAAGCTAAGCGACGAAGGACGACAGGAACAGGTCGTATGTTACATCTTAAGAATGTACACAGACGTTTCAAGCATGGATTCCGTTCAGGGCCACCGAAACCTGTAAAGGCTTGATGTACATGCTTGTGGTAATAAATGGTCATGATTGATGCCTTTGTCTGTTCTTGTGTATAGTACACCTTTTAGTCAGAGTGATTAGGATTCTATTTTTCAAAGGTCAAATAAACTAATGTGACATGAGTCTTTAGACGTAGGGGCTGTTAATGTGAAAATGTGTATAGAGTATTTCTGATTCTGTACGCGGACGTATCAATCTCTTGAAATATCGGCAACTACTGACAGTTACATTACGTTGGTGATGGGCTACATATGTGTGGGGTCCGGTAGTACTACGTAGTCGCCTTAACCTTGGTATGTGGAGCAGGGTTCGAACCCGTAACACTGGTTGAAAGCCGAGCACTAGGATCCGAGTACCATGTCTCCACACACTTAGGACTAAAATAACCATCCAGTGCTGTTTACATGAGGTACCTAATCTTAGTGTTGATTGCTTAGCCTGTGGGATGCTGTTGATGCTCTGATACTTATTTGACGAATTCACACTTCGTGGCTAAGTGGTAGACCTTACATCGTGTAATAACCAGTGATAATATTAAGTTGCCGGTTTTTATTCCCTATTAGTTAACCTACCAGTATGGGAGATGGGTGTTAAAATTGCAGTAAATGACGGGAGCTGTATGCGTAATTTCCTCCTAGGAGTCCTGTTAAAAAACACCAGTGAGGGTTATTACTTACCATTTCAATAAACACCGGAAGATTGAAATATGTGGACAAAAGGGCTCTGTAGAATTGTAATGACTGGTGCTGGAACGCAATGAAGTATCGTAGAGTTACTCACACTTGTTATTAGACCTAGTAAGCTAAAAGGTGATGATAGTCTGGAGACTAAGGGAAACGTTAGATTACACATTTGTAGGGTGGCTCCGCAATCTTCCCATGATAAGACTGATATTAACACATTTCCAGAGGCAACTCTGGTTTATTTTGGTTTTGAACTACTGAGACCTAAAATTCTCAGCTGTCACCGTCTCTGTTATCTCTAATATATTGGATATTTTCATAGGTTCATGTAAAAGAAGAATAGGCTTTTTTAAATTTTCCAAGATAACTGCCAAGTGTACTACACTTAGAGACAGTGATTTCCAGCTTGTCATGAAGTAGCATTCAATCTTCGTAGTTGTGGTGTAGCCGTCTTTGGACACCGAGAATCTGGTGTGTTCTACATCATCTCAAGCCTACATACAGTTTCAGATGTTGAGATGAATTTCGCTGGTCAGGCAGATAAGTTAGTATCTTATTGTGTCATCTTATACAACGTTTACACTACAGAAGTCAGAATACGTGAGTACTCTCCAAAACCAGGCCAGCTCATATATGGTAGATTTATGTGTAGTAAGGTGACTAAAAATGCTAGGACTCGACAAACAAATATACAGTTTTATTGGGTATATCTGGTTAGGATTAAAGCCCCTAATGTCAGGAAGAATGGTATAGGTACCAGTTGTCTTCAAAGTTACTTGGAGCCACTATCACTTTTATAGAGATGGCTAATATTAAAACTAGTACTGTCTACCCCAGTTATCTAATCAAAAGTAGGACAGTTGGATTTATTTCCGCCCTGCCAAACACAGCAGTCTCTGTGGTCACCTACCTAAACTTGTTGGTTTGGTAGGATCGCACGATTTAGAGGAAGTCTGAATAGGTTGATAATTCTGCCCCACATCCTGCCTTGATTATCTCACCTGATGTTGAGAAGGCAACAAAATATCTAGCTAGAATGACAGAACTTGGTGTGTAACAACTAGTGCTTTGTTTTATAACGAAAGGCCGATTTAATCACCTACCTTTGATCTTCGAAATTGTAGCTGATTCATTGGTTGTCTGTCACTGGAGTTGCACTGCTGCTACGGAACTCTTCTCATAACAGCATGTCGTCAACTTTCGTAAGAACATTTTGTTCTTTATCCTTCTTTACAATAAGTGGTCTACAGCCTTGTTTATGCAGGTGTTTCAGATTTATTAGTTGAGGTTAGTAGGCTTGGAGCTTATGGTAATCCTTTTCTAGCAGATTTCTATGACTGTCGAAACCCTTGGATGAATCAGTTGACGTTGCAGACACCACTTCTGGGAGTTGGTTCTAAGAGTTTATGGCTAGGTGTGAGAACCGGTACTCAACAGCACTATGATTTCTTCTTGGCTTTTGAAGTCTCCTGCTATGTCCTCTTAGGTGTTCCGATCTGATGGGAAGGAAAAGAGAGAATAGGTCAGGTCCGTAGTTGTTATTTAAAATTTTAAACATTGTGATTAAACCTCCTCTCTCCCTACAGTACGATAGGGAGAAGAGATTTAAACTGTCTAGTCTTTCCCCATATGGTAATTTAGTCATGCCGAGAATCATACATGTTGCCTTCCTTTGGCCCTTTTCTAGAATATGTGAGTCCCCTTAAGACAAGGACTGGCTGCCTGGACACAGTTTTCCAGTCTTGACCTTACTAGAGATGCATATAAGGAGATGAACATACATCTGGTGATTCTAGTAGGGCTGTCCGAATTGCAACGGTGTGCTGTGGTCTTTAAATCGTGACTTACTATGATACCTAAATCCAAATAAGTCTGAAGTGATGGGAGTGTTATTCCCTCTAGTTCGTAGGGGCTGATGCACATAGTTACACATTGTGCTACGTTGATAGGGAACATCCATTCTCTGGACTACTGTGACAATTTGTTGAGGTCCTCTTGCAATGTGAGCGTATCACTGTCGCCCTTGAGCTGTCTCCCAATTTTTAAGTCATCTGCGTAAAGGATCATAGGGGAATCGGTAAGCACATATAACTCATTGATACACAGTAAATAGGGGAGGTCCGAGTACCGTGCCTTGTGGCACTCCACTACGCACTGCTGTCCAGGAGGAGAGTTTTGAGTTGGTACTAACCCTCTGCCTCCTATCTTTGAAGAATTCCCTTATCCAGTTTGGTAAGCTGTCCTTGATACCAAGACTTTCCAACTTCATGGGTAGTCTTTTGTGAGGAACTTTTTCGATGTCTATGAAGGTGACGCCAACGGGTCTTCTGTCGTACCTTGATTTGACCCAACTTTCTTCTGCACTGAGAGGATTTGACAGGCATGAAAGGTTTCTTCGGAAGCCATGCTGTGCCCTGGATAATAAGCTGTTGTTTTCCAGATATGCCATAATACTTTTCTTGATGATTCTTTCCAGTGTCTTGATTGAGGTGCTGGTGAGACTAATAGGCCTGTAGTTTGAAGGGCCTTGTCTTGGTCCGCCTTTATGGATGGGGGTTACAATGGCGTCTTTCCAGTCACGCGGTAACACTCCATTTAGGAGAGATAGCTTAAAGATCGTGGTCAGTGAGCCGGCTATGTGAAGTGATAGCTCAGTGCATGGTGAGCCATGGGTAGTCAGTGTCAACTGAAATGGCAGTGAGTAAGGGAGGAGTTACTAGTTGGATGGCTTAAGTCCGGATCCTGAACTTGGCAAAGTAGTAAAGTGTAAACTACCTAGGGTCATCATCATGTTAAGAATATAGGATTGAAAACACTGTGACATGGTTGCAATGACGCAGGTAATTTCTTTGTTTATCACTACCTGAGCTCAGAAATGTCTCTTTCACCACTTAATGATCCCTTTTCCCATACATTGTCGTACATCTTAGTTTCATCATATCGGTTTTCTCCACTTTTATCTATGCCTTTCCGGACAGTTGCTTTCTTGTGCAAAGTTCTACGTTGGAAATTTAGTTCAGTCTGTCCTAAGGGTAACACTTTGAACACGGCTCTGCATGCGAGGTTCTGCGTTCTTACGTCAGTCAATTATAAATTTTCAAGCTATCTAGTTATTTTCTCCAGCAGTGTTACTGCCATCATTAACAGCGTCCAGAGTTATTTCGATCGATTTGGATCCCCTTGGAACTTGACAATGTAAGTTAGGTGAGGATCTATGTTGCTGGTGAATCAAGTTAACCAAACTGTTGAAATGCTCTACATTGTGACTCAATCAGTCTTGGAAATTGTTAATTTGTCTATTTATCTGCGGTCTCATTCATAATGTCCCTCTAGTCACATTCGACTAGGGTAGTTTGTAACAATTTTCGTATATTCGCACCATTACTTGTTGTTCTCACCACTGTAACACATCTTGACTACCGTGCTTCGGATTCCCTATGTGAGTTTTGTGTTATGCAAAACCTTTTGCCCACTATCTGCTAAGATGAATCGACAGGTATCAAGAAATTACAAAAGGTTAGGAAGAGTGTAGTATTTATTAAAGTAGTGCTCTTTCGACTCTACCCGATATCTTTAAGATTCGACCAGTATTAGCTCCTTATTTATGAAGAACCATTAGTTAGGCTTCAGTGTAACACGATTCGACATTTACTCGCAGTGCTGTTTTCTACCAAGCTACGTTTACCAAACCGATTATAATGATTACCGTGACGTAAGCTTAAGCCCTAACGATAGAAAGACTCATGGTTGGACTTGGCATGGTGGGACTTGCAGGAACAATAGTTCCAGTCAGTGTAACTTGTTTTGGTCATTGTGATGTGCAAGCCCGACCACCACGTCAAAGTAGCAGCTATCAGTTGGCTAGAAAAGTGTTGCGATCTGCGGAATACTTCGTCGTTTATCTTGGTTGGAAATACAAATATCTCCCTTAAGAATGTTTACTCTAGACTGTACATATGAGCCTCTAACAAGCATTCTATTGGAAAGATGATTCATGGGATGTATATATTGATTCATCTTTATTTACATTCTGATGGAAATAATTTTGACGTTCAGAGAACACCTCACTTCTGTAACTACTTAATCCTTACTATGATTGCCTTTCCTCAGATTAACACTAAACTTATGGCTGTTAAACGGGTGGTGTGGGGGAATCTAGTTGAGTAGTGTAAACTCAACTCTCTAGCGCTTACTATGATTATATAAGCAGGATACAATGGAGATATCGAAGGCTTCATGAATAAGCTTATATAAGACATTCATTTTAAAGGGACAGTACAGAATTCCACATTAGATGAGTTCATATTTGAATATCACACAGCGATAATGCAGTATTAACAACTAGGTGAAAAGGTTTCCAGTACAATTTATTGCTCATAATCATATCAAGATAGTACTCACACAATTTTCTTGCTTCGCTTACATACATGAGTAAAAATTGATTATTCTTATGAATAAATCGGTAAAAGTTCAATAAACATGCTTGAAACAGAAAAGAAGATAAAGTACATAGTGAATAAAATACAATAGGATGTTATTTAGTAAAATAAATAACTTGTTAGAGTATTATGCTGTGAATGGAAATAAATGTTAACAT